AGACCATTTAAATGGTCCGTGATCCTACGGACCATTTCTCTCAATCCTCATGCTGCATTGCTGTACCACTATGGAAATTAATCCTTCTTAGTATTGCAGAGTTTTAAGGAAAGTGTTTGTCCTTTGTGAAAAGATATCTACATGTATTCATATATTCTGCACAGTCATTTTTTTAAACTAAAACTGAGACAGATTTTGGGTTGATTAGAGAAGGGGAGAGGTAACACGTCTTCTGCAGCCATTCAAGGCTGGACTTACAAACTCAATGATCAGTGCTACCAACAGGCGGAGGCTGACACTAATCGCCTTGGAGGCGTTTTGTAGAGGCCTGACAGAATTGGGTCCATAGCTACCCAGAAGGTCGGTAACGAGATCCTTCTCGTTTTTTCCAGAGACCACCGTCACTGTCGGAGAAGAACGGCACGGTGGCTGATAAGAATGTTTGGTTTGTGTCAGAAGCTTAGATGTTCCCTTTATGCACCTAAATAAGCCGCGCAATGAAGTATAATAGTAAACTCTCTTCAGAAAGGATAAAAAACAACCCATTCAAGTGAGCTTTTTGTGAGTTAATTTTGAATAAAGCCTGGTACGCTGAGTTATCTGATTGCACATAAACATAACAATTTGATTTCCCCAGACTAAAGACACTGTTGATACGCCTCGTGATTCGGGGTAAGCTTTTGCATGGCGACTACCATCTCTGCAATGGAACTGGCTCCTTAATGCCCTTCTTATATGAAAACAGTCTATTGGTGCAAAGCGTCTCTTATGTAACTAGGCAAATTCCCAGAATCAGGAAGAACAGCAACAGTGTATTTAGTATAGATAATTCAGATTATGGTCACGTGAATTTAAAGAATTCAGATTTTGTTCAAACTGAACTCGTACAGAGGCTCTGCCTTGCTTCATATTAACGAAGCCAATACTAATCATACCTTATCTTCCAGCAACCCTACTACAAATAAGTCGATGGCATGAATGTGACTTAAAGTGTAGCATAACACCAGGGCTTGTATAGCTACTATCTGAATCGGCAAAGTTATTCAGGAAAGTCAAAAAGTAGGAGCTTGAAAATTTACCAAAATGAAGACTGCACCGATCAGTTACTAAATCAAAGGGCATTTCTGTTAAGTTCAACGGGCAGCGCACAATATTCTTACCCGTCCATCCGCACATGAGGAATATCATCAGTAAGTGGTAGGTGCGGTCGCTGCATCCAACCTTTCCCGGTAGCCGAAATATTGCCATGATCCACGGAGCAACGGGGCCTCTTTAGGTCACACAACCGGTAGCCAACGTCGAGAAAACACGATTCAGGGGTATCTTGTCAAAAACGAGACGAATTTCGTACGGTGAAGGTATGTCGATATTTTTACCTTTTGGCGATCACTACGACCAAGCAATTACTCGAGCTACGCTGTTTATTTAATACGATGCTGGTAACGTTCATGAACGCAGTTGTATAATAATTTATTAAGGTTATACCTGGTATTACGCATTCAACAATGCAATCATGCGTTCACGCGTGATAAATACAGCGCCATTGAAAACCTACAGCTTGTGACGCATTATAATTCAAGCTCGGGTACCCTAAAGTGACGGGCTGTAACAAATTTAAAAAAACAGTAGCTTGATGTACATCTTTAATAAGTACGTACACCCCTGAACCCTACATCAAAATGGCGTATTTATAACTTCCAAAAAATCCTCGCCTTTTCAGTGCCATTGAATACCTGTGGGTGTTACGGGAAGTCCAAAAACTTACTCAAAATCCGCCTTGATTTTGTTTTTTGTTTTTTTTTTAAATTTCTCAACACTAAAACATGGGGGGATGATTCAAAAGCTCATCTCCTCAGTCAAAATGTAGGGGATGTATACCGCCATCTCCTGGGACTTCCGGCCCTACTAAGGCTTGACACTTTATCTTTGGCAGTGTTGTATACCCGAGTCCATCACAAGTTGGTGTTTCTTCCTCCAAAAGCCTGCAGTCTTTTTTCCAATTTTTAAGGTATTCATAAGTTATGATGTCTGACAAAAGCATTATCTTCCAGGTCACTGTTCACCTTGATGCTGTTGACTGGTCTTGTGAAAGGACCTGTAATAGACTCGAACACAACACTGGATAAATTGGTCATCATTTACGCATGTTTTCACAGTGACTTTTATTTTAATGTTTAGCTCTGGGCATTTACATACATAATACCCTTTTTTCTATAAATAGCAATGTTAGTGTGCCACACGAATTTTCTATCATGTTACCACAGACTTGCACATACACTTTTTTATATAGGTCTCTCTAATTCAAATAGGTGTATCACCATGTGTGCGAATCTCTCTTGTAGATTTTGCACACTAACCTCGTTTCATGTCAAGTTGAAACTTTACAAAAGATATCGGTATTATTTAATGGACTGATCTTGTTTCTTTGGTGTTGGAATGATGGCTAGGATAATTAGTCCTAATCCTAAGTAATTAATCGGGCAATTCTATTTTTCCTGAAATGTCCTTAAGTAATTCACTATTAAATAATGGACAGGGAGATTTTCAGTGTTACAACTATATCATATTCACTGTTTATTGGAGATCACTTACACCTAACGTACATTCATCTCCATGTAAAAAAATATGGCTGGACCATACCAGTGACTGTTAGAGGTGGTCACTGTAGTAAGTAATCTCGTGGTTCGATCGCGTCACAGCAGTTGGAAACTGAAAGCCAATATTGTGTTAGATGTTATTTTAAATATATTTTGAAATATTGTCAATTTACATCAGATGAATTTTTACATTTTACTTTACTCGAAAATGTTTTCAACCAATTCTCTTTGCGAAAGAAAATGTCAAAATTTCTCCGATGAAACTTTAAATTCTTTGGAAGAGGGAATAAGGATAACCTGTTAATATACAATATACATAAATAGTAGATCTTGCTGAATAACGACAAGAGTGTGGAAATGCACTTCAAGACCAATAATTGTGTTATAAGGCAAAAAACTCCGAAACAAACAAAATTCTGCTTCATTCAGTATTTCACAGATTTGTTGCCTGATAACAATATCATTTTTTATACAACTGCTATGGATGCGGTGAACAAAACAATTGATATTACACTTTGTAGTCAACTGTATAGATTTTGATTTAGAATAATAAAAAATCACTTTAATAGTAGAAATGCTGTAAAATGTTTGTAAAATTTAATTATATGATTAAAATATCAATAATATGTACAAATATACCACTTTAAAAAATCCCTTTAACTTAAATAGAAATTAAAGCACAAAAACAATCTTGCCACAAAAACAATGTACATAGCATGTTAACAGCGGGTGTTTATTTGTAAACGGGTCAAATTGTATTTGACAGTCGTGCAGGCTTCCGTTTTAACTTTCCATTTAAAATTAAACCATTGGATTTTTGGTTAGATGTTTAGTGGTTTTTGTTTCTTTTTAAGAACTGAACCTAAAGTGGGGTCCGACGTCGGAACCTAACAACTGTATAATTGGGAGGGCACAATTTTAACAATACACAGTACCGTTTATTCTTGAAAACATATTGCGACGAAAGGTCAACTCTATTTCTTAAGGTCGAGTGGTTTTTATTTCTTCTTTGCAAGGTTGTGCATTGATATACGAGCTGTCTATAAAGATATGATTAGGGTTGAGAGATAGGGTTAGAGATAATGGTTAGGGATAGGGTTGGGGTTAAGGATAGGGTTAGAGATAGGGTTAGAGATAATGGTTGGGAATAGGGTTAGGGTTAAGGTTAGAGGTAGGGTTAGAGATAATGGTTAGGAATAGGGTTGGGGTTAGGGGTAGGGTTAGGGAAAGCGTTAGGGATAATGGTTAGGGAAAGGTTTGGGGTTAGGGATAGGGTTGGGGTTAGAGATAGGGTTAGGGTAAGAAATAGGGTTAAGGACAATGATTAGGGATAGCAGTAGGGATTATGGTTAGGGATAGGGTTGGGGTTAGGGATAGAGGAAGGGTTAGAGATAATGGTTAGGCATAGGGTTGGGGTTAGGGGAAGGGTTAGGGATAAGGTTAGAGACAGGGTTAGGGATATTGTTAGGGATAATGGTTAGGGTTAGAGATAGGGTTAGGATTAGAAAAAGGGTTAGAGATAATGGTTAGGGACAGGGTTGGGGGTAGGGTTAGGGGTAGGGTTAGGGCTAGAGATATGGTTAGCAATAGCGTTAGCGATAATGGTTAGGGATAGGGTTGGGGTTGGGGATAAGATTAGGGTTAGGGTTAGGTATAGGGTTAGGGAAAGGTTTGGGCTTAGGGATAGGGTTGGGGTTAGAGATAGGGTTAGGGTAAGAAATAGGGTTAAAGACAATGATTAGGGATAGCGTTAGGGATAATGGTTAGGGATAGGGTTGGGGTTAGGGATAGAGGAAGGGTTAGAGATAATGGTTAGGCATAGGGTTGGGGTTAGGGGAAGGGTTA